TCAAGCGATTTCACCGGAACAAAGTGTCTCATCTTCGTCAGGCGGTCGACGGCGACGAGTATATTGCAATACTTGACGCCCCTGTAGTGGTATTCCGGTAGGTCTATGACATAATCAATAGAGATATCCTCCCATGCGTGTTCGGGCACGGGAAGTGGTTGAAGGAGTCCCAACTTGGCTGACCTAGAGGGCTTTGACCGCAGGCACTGGTGACAGTTCCTCACGAACTGTGCAATGTCCTTGTGCATGTTGATCCATATGTAGGTACGCCGAACCAGCTCTGCTGTTTTGGTACGACCCGGGTGGCCGGCTGTTGGAGCCGTATGGGAGCGTCGAATAACTTGGAGAACCAAGTCGTCGTCATCAGGGGTGAACAACCTGCCATCACAGTAGATACGGTCCCTAATGACCTTACAGTCCTTGATAGGAATGCGCTGGAGCTGTGCTCGGATTGGTTTAGGCCAATTGCGCTTCGAGTTCTGTAAGGCCTGTTTCATCAGAGTAATATCTGCGGATGTATCATATGCTTGTTCAAGCAGGTCATCAATCGGGATATCCTCAGAGTCGAGCACCCGCATGTACAGTCGCAGCTCGTCGATACGTTCGTCATCAGATTCGATGCAATCGAGGGCAGTTAAGTGGAACTTGACGCCCTGCTCCAGCTTAGCATCTGGTAGCAGTTGCTGCTTTCTATAATCAAGGCGTTGGTCGTCAGCAGAGTCTGGGGTGGTTCCCGGCATGCGACTCAATGCGTCTGGTTTCTCGGAGCGAGCCCCTGATCGGTAAACGATGGTAAAATTGAATTGTGCCAGAAACTCCGCCCATCGCGCTTGTCGTTGGTTTAGCTGTTTCGTTGTCATCAAGTATTGTAAGTTCTTGTGATCGGTAAATATGTCGAAGTGTGTCGATCCTTGAAGCTCAGGGCGCCACTCTTCCAGACACTTGATGATGGCGAGAAGTTCTTTGTCGTAAATTTCGTAGTTACATTCTTGAGCAGTATGCTTCGAGTAATAGTATGCCACTGGGCGCACCTGTCCATCGTCGCCGATCTGAGATAATATGCCCCCCGAAGCCCAATCAGAAGCATCTGTTTCCAGTATGCTCTTCCGAGATGGGTCGAAATATGCTAGGACTGGCGCAACGGTAAAGGCGTGTTTGAGGCTGGTAAAGGCTGTTTGGCACTCAGGAGTCCAGCACCAGTCCTTGGCCGCCGTAAGGGATGTCAGGGGTCTAGCGATCTTCGAGTATCCCTTGATGAATCGGCGGTAGTAGTTAGCGAAGCCTAAAAATCTTTGCAATTCTTTGAGCCGGCCACGCTCTACCGTATCAGGGGATCGCCATTCGAGCACGGTGCGGACCTTGTCAGGGTCCATTGAGATGCCGTCGGCGCCGATGATTAACCCTAGGTACTTGGTCTTCTGGACGTGAAATTCGCATTTATCAATATCAAGTTGGAGGCCTGCTTGGGAAAGCCTCTTGATAACTTCATCGACTTGCTTGACGTGTTCGTTCAAAGACTCAGAGAAGATAAGAACGTCGTCGAGGTACGCGGAGCAGTATTGATCGAGAATATCATGAAGGCATTGATTAATGTAATCTTGGAAATAAGCGGGAGCGTTACACAATCCGAAGGGCGTTACCAGGCACTCGAACAACCAGTAACGTGTAATAAACGCTGTTTTCCATTCGTCTCCTTCGGAAATGCGTATTTTGTTGAATGCCGCAACAACATCCAACTTTGTAAACCACTTAGCTTGCCGTATACGATCGAGCGTGTCGTGTACCAGTGGCAATGGGAAGCGATTGCGGATTGTGATCTCATTGAGGCCACGGTAGTCCTGGCAAATACGCACTCCGCCACCGGGTTTCCTTGCCAGGAGGATCGGTACCGCTCCAGAGGATGTAGATCGTCGTATGAAGCCCTTGTCTAGCTGCTCGTCTAGCCAGGCCTTGATGACTTTGTTCTCATCGGCACTAAACGGTCTAGACTTATGGTACGGTGGAGTCGTTCCCTCTTTAAGATGAATATTCGTATCGGACGCCCTGTGTGGTGGCAGTTCGTCTGCCTTCTGTTTCAAGAAGGCGTCAACCTGGTGGTGGTATTGATGCGGTATCCGTTGCTTGAGCTGGTCGAGTGTATATGGGGTCTTGATCTGTTTTTCGATAAACCGGTCTATATCATTCTGCGTGATTCGATTTAGCACGATTTGGTCGAGGTAGTCGTCGGCGAACTCGTGCAATTCTGATGGTAGGCGTTCTTTGGCCTCGATAGGTGTGATGTTGCCCTGGAGGACGTCACGGCATAAGTCGTCTGGGATGTCGTTCCAATTAATATCTGGCGTGTCACTGTTTCGGAGGAGATCCTGTAGCGTGGTCCAGTGTGCTGTCACTCCTTTCTGCCGGCAGAACGTAGCCATTGAGGTGGCTTGCAGTATTCTGAGCTGAAGAGAGCTGTCACCCCCGCTAGATAACTCGATGGGCGGTGGTTTGTCTAACTGTTTGAAGCGTATTTTCCGTGGTTGCCGATGGCCGCCCTTACGTAGGGGTGGCCCTCCCGTAAGACGTACAGCCCACGCATCTGGAATATGTCTAAACCCTGCCGCTGCGGGCCCCCCTGTAATCGGTATATCGTATTCATCGTCAATTAACTCCGGGTCCCCTTCGTAAGCGTCGCCTATGGCGAGGGGCTCGCGGATTAATTGTTGCTGGTCGTTGGAGACTCGGTCAGCAGTCCTTCTACAGTAAGTAGTCTCGTCAACTGCCGGCGGTGGGGAGCGGTTAACGACGACTCCTTGGACGGCCGTGGTCTCGCGTCGGTAAAGGCATTCAAGCACGCAAGCGGTTTTATCAAAGAAAACTGTATTCGTCTGCCAGTCAATGGTTGGGTTATGATATTGAACAAGACCCCATATACACTCGACCAGCTCAAGCAACGGATACCGCATCAATACCACCACCAGTCTCAACAATACTTTGTACACGTCGGTTATTCGCAGCGCGATCGCCTTCGGGGCGGCTGCGTGGCACACTATAAGCGAGGAACCAGCGGGACCAGCTAAGAGCCTAGTCGGGATACAGAATGAGTGCCTCCGAATAGTCTGTGGCGCCTACAAAGCGACACCGGTCCGACATCTAGAAATAGAGGCAGCTATCCCGCCACTAGACCTATATCTCAGTGCACGGGCGGCGAAATTTGAAGAACGGCTACGGAATAACGGCAAAAGGAGCCTGCTTCGAAGCGCGAGCGCGAGAGCGTCACACATACTCCGACAGGACACGCCGGCGAGACGGAAGCGGACGTCAAAATCGCTCAGACCAGCGGGGTACACGATAGAGAAGGAGGCTAGGGGCTCCGAGTGGATAGGCAAGGCGAAGGAAGTCCCGGCCGCCCTCCTAGACCACTGGGAGAAGAGATGGCTCTCCGGGGCAGCACAACACGACCGCCAGCGACGCGCTATCGCCGAGGAGCAGGAGGGCCCCTCGATGCGAATGCCGAAACAGGGCAAGTACTCAGACCTAAACCGACCGGAGGCGTCTACCCTATGCCAGATCAGGACCGGAAAAATAGGACTATCAGCTTTCTTATTTAAGATAGGAGCCTTCGGTGTGTACTCGCCGTTATGCCGCTGTGGAGAGGCCCCCAAGACGGCAGAGCACGTAATCCTCTTTTGCGGCCTGCTGGAAGAATCGAGAGAGCGCCTACGGGCCACTATCGCACCATGGCCGCTGCATACACGTAGAGACCTGGCAACGGCGACGGAGAAACCAGTAGTCAGCGGGACTATCACAAGGTGGCTACTCAGGACTGGCCGGATAGCGCTTAGGCCCGGATAATATCGATCTTCTCAGGGGGACTTTGTTAGTAGGGTGAGAACTAACATAGTATTGTGGTGGACGTAACGCAGTCGCTAATAGAGCGAACCTACGTAGCAGCGTATGTATTTAGTCCAGCCATTAGGGCACGGTTTGACATACGGGAGAACTTGTAGAGGTACCGGGGGCTTCGAGCCTACGGCGTATTTAATAATAATAATAATGATATTGAAGCCAGGGGAGGCCGAGGATGACGGCGACGTTGAGTTTAGTGACGAACATCTCCAAGGGCTCGATGTGGGTGCCGATTTGCAGCCAAACCTGGGATTTGTGTGTAACGTGACCTGATGAGCTCGAAGAGTCGTCGGCCATCAAGAGCTGTCGTGGTTTTTTCAGAGGGATCAAGTCAAATCCCATCCGTTGCGCATGTTCTAAGTCAATGAAGGCTTTGCCAGAACATCCAGAGTCTATCATTGATGTAGTAAGTTGTCGCCGAATACCTACGTGTATCAAAGAGAGTAATGAGAGGCTTTTTGCTCCCATCTGTGTCAAGTGTAATGGCTTAGCTATTTCATGTGAAGGACATTTATGCTTCTGCTCGCGGCATTGAGCAGAAGCTACTCGTTTCCTGGACTTGCGTGCCCGAAGAGTTGAGCACTTGGACGTTGGAAAGTATCAGAAAACAGTATCGCATAATATAACATTCTCGTAACTGTAGAAAGGCATACATTTGATATATCGCCATCTGTATCGACTCAACCGCCTCGAGGGGGTTCGGAGCGACTCGATGGGCCATGCGATTCGGATCCAGATTACTAGCTCGAGATGACTGGCCAACAAGCCTTCTTCATTCTAGTTTCGACGCACTCGATAAAGTATTCATACTAGTTTGTGAGGAGGATTTCTTTCCTTAGGCGGCATCATCTGATTATGTAAGTTTACGCCATTCTCCATAGGCTTAAAGAAAGTATGTCGGATTTCCGAGCCCTAACTCCATAAGAGTGAATCCGAAAAGGACGAGCGGAGCTAACGATATCTGAATATTTATATAGTTAAGTCCGCTAGAGAGCCCGTCTACAAGGATCCTGCAACCATAATTTGCAAGCGTCAAATTACGGCTTCCCGTTAGAAATCCCACGCACCTTACTATGGCTTCTACTTTCATGTATGTGTGGTACATGATTATTTCAAGCTCTGTAGTCCTTATTCAAGCCAAAGAGTGCCGCCTGTATCTGAAGAGCAACAGTGCGCGAGTGAATCCTGCACAGAGCCAGACTTCCACCCATGAACCACAACCCAGGATGGCCACTGGGCCTCCACATCTACCAAGAAAGGACTATTAGTTTTCCACACGGATAATATCGGGTGTTAGAGAAAGTGGATCTTAGAAAGGCGTACCGTGTTAACCTCACCCTCCTCGTCCAGGTCCCAGACGTCTTTGGCCCTATCAGCGATCTTGTCACCAAGGATCTTTCTTGCTGTTGTTCTCATGTTATCAAAACCCGTCGCCAGCACCACGATATCAGCTTCCAGCTTCCGGCCATCAGCCAAAACCAAAGCATTTTCTTCGAAACCTTCAATACCGTCCGGGCTCTGGATGACCTTGATCTTGCCGTCGATGATCAATTGGCTCGCACCAATGTCGATATAATAACCACCTCCTCGAGTGATGTACTTTCTATAGATTCCTGAGCCGTCCTCTGCAAAATCGAGCTTGAACCCGGCTTTCGTGAGTCCTTCGATATTTTCACGCTCAGCTTCCTTAATCCTCTCCGTTAGACCCACGTTCAGGGCAAACTGGATGGGGATAGGCAGGCTCTGTGCGCAAATATCAGCATCCTCGATCGGCGGCCCCGTCTCATCATAAATGCCTTCGTGGAGCATGAAAAGCCCCTTCTTAGCTGAAATAACGTAGGTGCCACGTCGTTGAAGCATTGACACGTTGGCGCCGCACTCGTAGTAGTTCTGCGCTATGTCGTGGCCGGAATTACCCGTGCCAACCACAATCACCTTCTTCCCCGCCATATGGCCCTTAACTGTGGCGTCCTCGTGTTGACTTCCGTGGTAGACGATTCCCTTGAACTTCTCCTGACCCGAGAAGGTGGGGATTTTGGGCTCGCCAGCGTGGCCAGTGGCAAAGACGATGTGCTTGGGCTTTAGGATACGCTCCTCGCTGCTGTTGCGGAGTACTGACACGGTCCACAATTGTGTGGCGTCGTCGTACGATGCCGACTTGACCGTTGTCTTGAGCCATATGTTGAGCTCCATGGCGCTGCCGTAGATCTCGAACCAGTCCCCCAGCTTATCCTTGGGTGTGAACAGGGGCCAGTTGCTGGGGAACTTCATGAAGGCCATGTGCGTGTACTGCACTGGATCATGGGTGACTAGGGTCTATTTCGATCATTGTGTCAGCTTTATTATAGGTGATGTGATTTTATATTCGATGACGTACCCGGTAGCGGTTCCTCCAGTTGTCGCCGACACGCTCGTTCTTGTCTATCAACAAGGATGAGATGCCGACGTTACGCAGGCGGGCACCCACATTCAGTCCGGATTGACCTATTAGGGCGACAAAATTGTCAGTCTAACACCGTCTGATGAAGAATTGACACACAAATGGAAAAGCTTTTGCCATTGACTTACCAGCGCCGATGATCAGAACAGCTGGGTCCCCGTCCTTGAACTCGACCTCCTTCTGTCGTCGCTCCAGCCAGTTTTCCATCTTAACGCCGTCTTTCAGGGACTCGTTCCCGCCATGTGGCCTCCTTGCACCAATTAGTTCCTCATGACCTTTAATCTCCTGCAAAGCAGTGTAGATCATAAGGGCGCGGTATGTCCCGTCCTGGTCCTGAACAAGACGCAGCATCCCTTTGCCCCGGCCGACGGCCGTCTCGAAGCTAAACATGGACTCGACCCATGACAGGCCACTGCTGGGAGACTCTTCGCGCGGCTGGTAGATGCCAGTATCCTGGAGCTTGAGCTTCTGGAACCCAATTTCTGCTATGTTTGGGGCCAGGTATGAGGAAATGCGGTCGAGGCCGTGGAGCGTCCTCATATCCCACGTGACTGCCAGCTGGTCTCTCCACCAAGCGTCCTGAAAGATGATCCGGTCAAGTTTGGATGCATCGCCCGTGCTCAAGACCTCGGCGAACTTTTCTAGCCATTGCGAGGCGATGTCCTTAGGGTCTAGCGGCTTAGGGGCGACGGCATTGGGTACCAATTTCTGGAATGCAGAGCCCCCAGGCAGCTTGATCGTGTGAGGGTTGTCAATGGCCAACATTTTAGGAAACTGGATTCTAGATGGTCGCAATCGTTGTGAAACTGAACAAACTCGACTGTCTTCGGTCGTTCAATTCTTGTTCTAGCTTCGCGACGGCCCCTATTTATAAACTTGAGCATGTGCTAGCCACATCGAGATTCAAAAGCAGCGTCGAGATTTTCATGGAAACTGACTTACATCAACTGGCAATGCAACGTAGAGGCGAATCGAAATCCGTCTCAACGATTGAACCCTTCTCCGCGTGCCCGTGTAGTCGCATAGCATGACATGGCTGTTGCATACGTGATTGAACCAAGAAAGAAATGTCCCAACGACCTACCGCGTTATCGGGAATGACACGGCCCGTTGACTGATATTGTTGCACTTTAATAGGCCCCACGGAGTGATCTTGGCTGCGCATCCGGTGATCTCGGATTGAAAGGCCGACAAGTTACATTTCTCACGCACGCAGAGACATGCCAGTGCGCGTGTCACTGCATCCGTCGGGAAGGAAATGCGCTCGAAGACAAACCTATGTATGATCAGTGATGTGCGTGGGCGGCTCACACAACCTCAATTGACGTAGAAGGGGATGTTTTCCGGGGTGCGTTTAGGTCAGGCACGAAGTAGGCGTGTGATTAGAATCTCCGTGGAATTTATAGGTCCCCCTCGTCCCTACTCATCTCCCCTCGACGCTTGAGGAATCTGGATTTGGGTAGTTGTAGGAAATTTACCATGGCTACTGTAAAACCCTATCAAAATTATGACCTTGACGATGCTGATCCAAATTCAATAATTATCAGGACTCCATGGCCTCTAAAGCTACCGTCACTCTCCCAATGCTTCAGTGCCTAGAGATTCTGGAGATTGCCTGTCAAGTCAAAACAGGGCACAATTCCCCCGCAATCACCCCTCTCCGCATTTCACCAGGATGTTTGGGGTCACCAAACTACAATGAGTCTGGCGCTGGGCACAGCCAGCCCGGGTACAACGTAAGTGGTAACCCGAGATCAATGCTGCCTATCCATTTCGCCGCAACCTGCTCGGCGCTCGCAACACCGAGAATTATTAGCTGTATGGGAACGGCATTGACACGGCCCGAGAAGCTCTACCTGGAGTGCTAACAAGCGGGTACCTGAGTCTTTGAAACTGGGACGGAGAATCGTTTCCTCAGTTTATATTTCCAGTATGCTACTTCAGAGACTTCGTTAGCCTCTTCGTCGAATCAGTTCCTATTAGTTCGGAGTAATTTATGGACATCACGAAGACACCGTATATAACAGACAGAGTAGGGGATTCAGCGGAGAAGACCCCCTCCTAAGGACCAATTGCTCACCACTTCTTACACGAGTATCTATGGAGTTATTTAAACCGTCTTCTCTTACTTTTCACATACGTCATGAAAATTAGGAGGTGGATATTCCGAAGAGAATCCGGATTGCATCTGGGGTGCATTGAGCCATGTGACGATTTTCCGGGGTACTGCAGGATGTCTGGGGTAAAAGGCAAGGTTTACAATGTTATGAAAAAGAGTGCAGCCTCGGTTATGAGCGATGTGTAGTGCATTGGTTGCAAGATACAGGAGCGTTGTCGCGTGAATGTATAATTAGGAACACAGGCCCTTCATGCAAACCAACGATCCTCACATTCTTCATTCACGAATTTCCCCCGATACTTTCTTCTTCGTTACGATGCTTGAAGGCTATCCTCTTGAAATCGCCTTGACGGCTGCCAATGCTGCCGCACAAGTATGTAATAACCCACTTATTACGATGTAATTCCATGTTGACTCAGTCGGGTTACTAACAGCCCTTCAGGCATGGTACGGCTATGATCAGGTGAATACATCATTGCTTCGTCTGAGCCAAACCCTAACTGACCTCTTCGAAGGGTGTCATCAGCGGCGTTCTCATTAGTCCGGACTTTATTAGGTCCTTCCCTCAGACACGCAACCCTGACATCCAGGGGATTACGGCCAGCTGCTTCTCTGTGAGTAAAACCGATTCTGTGGATAAGTAGCAATTGCGCAGGCTGAACATTGGGTGATAGCTTGGAAATCTTGTAGGATGCCTGCTGGCAGCTCTTTTTGGTGACAGGCTGGGACGCAAGAACACACTACGAGCCGGTGCGGCCCTGAGTATTATCGGAGCAGTGCTGCAGTTTCTATCTTGGTCGTTCCCACAGCTCATTGTTGGCCGAATCGTCAACGGATTCGGGAATGGAATGACCAGCAGCACTTGCGGCATCTACCAGGCCGAATCCTGCTCGACCAAGAGGCGAGGGAAAACTTCTGTCATTGTTGTTCTTCACAATGTCGTTCTGTACATGGTGGCAAGTTGGCTGACGCTCGCCTGCTCATACGGTGCTGGCGGCATCCAATGGAGGTTGCCGTTGGCACTTCAGGTATATCCACACAACACCTAGCCCAATGACATCCCCATAACAACTGACGCTATATCTTTCTAGCTTGTGCCCTGCATAGTTATGTTGAGTATCCTGCCATTTATCCCTGATTCTCCAAGATGGCTACTGCTACGAGGTCGAACCGACGAGGCGAATGAAGCTGTGAGGCGCTATTTGGGGAAGGGCCTGAGAAAGGACGACCAAATGGTCCTCGACCAGCTTAGATCCATCCAGGGTGCCCTTAAGATCGAGCTGGACAACCATGTCTCACTTAAGACGGTGCTCCTGGGTCAAGATCGCTCGGGGCACTTGAAGCGTCTCTTGCTTGGCTGCGGAGCTCAATTCATGCAACAGTTCGGCGGTATCAACGGTCTTAACTACTATTTCCCCGCTATCCTAGAAAATAGTCTCGGCATGTCAGACTTCATGGCCAGGGTGCTGACGGGTTGTAACGCCGTCTCTTACACTATCTCGTCAGCTATGTGCTTCTGGTTCATCGATCGTTTCGGGCGTCGTTCTCTCATGATGAGCGGCTCATTCTTGCAATTCTTGGCATATGTGATGGTTGCCATCGCTGTGGCATATCTTCCCCATGCACCACATGAGGTTTGTGAACCACTGGGGAGAAAGAACCCAGGTCATTTTATTATGCACTGTCACTAACGGCGACATCGCAGTGGGGCTCGGTTGCTATCACATTTTTATTTTTCTTCTATGCAGCATTCGGCTGCACATGGGGCATGGTGCCATGGATCTACCAGTCCGAAATCAACTCCATCGCCATGCGTGCAAAAGGCTCAGCAGCGGCGACTTCTTTCAACTGGCTATTTGGTTTTGTATGCACGCAATTTGGTCCGACAGCTATAGCCAACATTGGCTACCGCTACTACATAAGTACACAACCTTCATTCAACCTGATTCTCTTTGGTAACGGCCGACTGACGTTGTGCGGGTAGTCTTCGCATGCTTGAACATTGTCTTCGTGCCTGTCGTTTACTTCTTCTACCCAGAGACGGCAAACCGCACCCTGGAGGATCTCGACCTCTACTTCGACAAGAATTCGGGCAACAATACCGTCATTGCCATTTCGAATAAAAAAGCCAAGCAGAAACTGCGGCCGCTGGAGTACGTCGAGGCTGAGAGACAGCGCATATATCACGAGACCGAGACAGTCAAGACATCTGACTTGGTTAAGCCCTGTGCCAGTCACAGCTCCTAGAAGCGGTGACGTGGATGTATAAGTGCTCCTTCACAGTGTTTTGGGCAAGAATGCATCGATGCATGCTTTACATGGAAGAGGAGTGACTATTGGCTATTCACATGTAAATCACGGGGCATCGTATGTCCCAAATCGATGAAGGCGCCCCCTATTGAGGTGCAACCCTCTACATGCTATGTCATAATCCAAATATAATCCCATTAGAAAGATCTCAAATGAGTCTCAAGTCGGGCCGTGTCTACCGCGCTGGAGTTGGACAGGAAAGCGCCATAAGTGCTGCTGGCCTTTTGCAGGGCGCTACTGCACTAGCTCGTGTTGGGGGTCATGTCGATCCCCCATGGGGAAACAGAGAACGCCTGTCTCTTTTTTGCATTGATCATCTAAAGATCCCATTCCTAGAAGCGCCCCAGCTTACTGACAACCTCGTCCTACCCCCAGGCTGCCTGGTGCCGCACACATCTATTTATTGAAGCTTGATTTTAAATATCCCCGTTATTACAGTGACACATAGGCAAATTGACCACATATACTGGCGCTGGCAGACAGAAAGTTTAAGATCGCAACCTGCAATCTGTGACTTGCGACCATCTGGGCAATGCGATTTGTCGGTAAAGAAGTGTTCAAGCCAATAACAACGTTCCTGCCAGAATCCAGTTCACATGGCAACCTTTTGTTGGGGGAACTCCAGCCGCCCAAATCGAACAAATCCCGAGGAATGCTCTTGTCTGCTCGAAGTGGAATAGACCTATAACAAAGCCCAGACTTCAGTTATTGGTTTTGTGCATCAACTATCCCCGTTCGCCAAGCTGACATCGGATCCCCCGCTTCGTCGACACAGGCGCGGAGCATTGATGGCCCGACGGGCTTCCACAACGTGCCTCAACAAACACGAACACGCCGAGAGTGTTCAAAACGATCTCTGGCATGGTCAAAATCCCGATCCTCCGTGGAGATAACCATGTCGTCACCAACTTCGTGTGCACCGTCACTATCATCATCAGTAGCCAAGCGCAAAGAACCGAAGACAGCGTGGGTGCATGCCCGTCAAGCCCTTTAATCCTGCCACTTTCATGTTGATCCGTCAAGAAAAGTCCCTGAATAACCTGCATACTAGCTGTCTCCTATGTCGTCGCAGGAAGGTAGCATGTGATCGCCGTCGGCCCAAATGCGGTCTGTGCTCTCGAAATGACTTCGACTGCACCTACACGGCCCGAGAACGACGTCCAGGGCTGAGGGCCGGGTACGTCTCACAGCTGGAGGAACGTATAGGTAGGTCGCCTGAGTACGTCAGAGCCGGTCATGACCACTACCAGACCACGTGTTACGCCAACATGCGAACCAGACTCGCTCTGAGTTAACGTTACACGTTGCAGCAACTCTCGAGGGTCGCGTTTCTGACTTGGAACGCCGGCCGGACACCACTTTGGATGGGAGGGGATCCGATTCGGCGCCAGGTTTGGTGATCGAGACCTTCGAGCCCGAGGTCCGGCATACCTCTACAACATCCAACCTGGCCGGCACACCAATGCCCAGGAATCAATCTCCAAGTCAAGACATGCAGCCAGCCAACAATAAAAGTATCTCACCTCCAGATCCACAGCCAACCTGGGACTCATTGGCCCCTGAGGTCATCTCCGAGCTATGCAAACTATGGCTCCAGTTGTATGATCCTTGGTTTCCAATCTTACACGCCTCATCTCTCGGGGTCTTGTATAGTACTCCCGAGTTGAGAACATGTGGACGGTACCTGATGGCACGGGCTGTTGTGGCCGCCACCATACATCACTGCCAGGCTCTGGGTCTAGCCACACATCAACGACAACATTTGGCGAATGAATGCAAGAACATAGTGGTCACTGAGGCCTTCCAGACTCCTTCTATGGACGCCATTCAAGCTTTACTGATTCTGTCCATCAATGAATATGGGAGTGGCAGATTGAGAGAGTTCTGGAATATGATGGCTCTTTGCAAAAGGTATGTAATATCGCCTACCATGGAGTTTCTTTGGCCCTGTGCGAATAAGGATACATTTCTGTCCATGATTATCCCCGTAACCATTAACACGTGGGGTCCTGCTCTCCTCTGGTCACTGTGAGCCCAGGAATTGGATGTACTGAACTTGTAGCAGGCTAGAGGCACAGCTTCGGCTGCGAAATTCAGTTGTGGTTACACAACCCGGTAACGGCCAAGGCGCCACCGTTACCGTGCTCAAACATTTGGCCGAGCATTTTCAGCCAGAAACTATGATAGAGCGTCAGGAGTGGATAAGAGCTTACTGGATGACCGAGGTGCTTGATAACATCTCCACAATTGGCACGAACCACGACATCCAAAGCTCGCATATTGCTCCCAACTCGGCCCTGCCATGTAGCGACTCGCTGTGGGCGCTTCCCGGCTCAGCCATAGATGAGTGGTCCATCGGCCAGTATCGATACTCGTCCTCCTTCGCGCTGTGCATTATCCTGTCCGTCACCGAACTACACAAGATCCACCAGTTTCTTCAGACACCGTGTGACATGAACGACCTGGAGAAGATGTACGAATGGCAGACAGGGGCCCAGCGCATTGATGAGAGCTTGACGATGTGGCGCGAAGATTTTGTCGCTGCTGTCTTCCGGCTTATCAATGCCGAATCTTCACATGAAATGGAACCATACGTCGTGCTGACGAATTGCGTCCTCAACACGTGAGTTATGTCAATTTCTTTGCAAGCCGCCAACTCCAAGCCTATATACACCTATTAGTAAGCAGAGCTCTTCTGCTAATCACGAACCCAGAGCCGTCATAACGCTCTTTCAGGCAAGGTCACCATGTCCCGCTGGCATCGACAAGACCACAGAGCCTGTGAGTCGACCCAATCCCAGATATTCCGACATAGAGATGTTAAAAAGGAAAAATAAACTGACATTGTCTTATTGAATCAAAATAGTGGAGTTATGCCACGACGAGATGCGTCTACGCCTGCGAGAACATGGCTCATAAGATACGGCGGATGAGCGAGGATGAGACGCGCAACTGTAACCCACATCTTCTCTACTCCATCTTCGTTGCGGCGCGATTTTACATCGGTACGTACCTAGGCAGTGTCCTTATGAGGTTCCAACTTTGGTTACACACGTACGGTGCCATTAATATTTTGCCTGTCTGCCAGTGTACTCCAAGGCTCTCGATGCCGACGTGCCCATAAACCTGCACTCGCTAGCGTTTGCGCTGAGAACTGCGAGCGTCCGGTGGCCACTTGCTCGTTGCTGCGAGACCGTCATTAGGACAGCTGTTGCTGAGCATCGGACGCCTGTCGAAACATCTTCGCTGCCCAAAGAGTTCTACGATCTGCGCTATTCGAGTGTGGAAATTCTGGATATTCTGCTAACTTGGACCCAGAATTGCCCTCCAGGCATGGGTATATGTGATATTGGTACTGAGAATACGGAATGAGAGCCTCCTCGTATGACTACGCCGCTTATAAGAGGCTGCAATGCTGAGACTCGATGAGCACTTCGCGTTTTGGTTACACTGCCAGGACATGAATTCGGAGGGAGGAAACTTGTATCAGTTGAAATTAACCAAGCTTGCTTATTCCAACTATTTCCGCCTCGCTCCGGTCCCTAAGCACCCAGCCCATCCCAGCTAACATGCCTCTCCTTCATCGCGAGGTATAGAAGCGTGTTAACGATTACTTTCTGCAATGCCAATATTTGCTTGAGATAATGTTCAACCCACATCAAATCCCGATAGCTTATACTGGTTAAAGGGTCCATTATCTGCTAGCTGTATGCTATGTCTGCAATAGCTAGGTTGATTGGCGTTATGCACGTTATTCACGAAGCGAAGATCGATTAAAAATAACAGCTAGGAAGATAACTTGTTTATACACCATACCTTATTTGTCTTCTGAACACGCTATTTAATCCAATAATGATCAAGACCTGGTATTATCAGGTTTTTATATTATTATAACAAAAGCCCGTACTACCGCTTATCTAACGTACCCCACAAGCAAGTTGGCCACTTTTTCTTGGCACCGTATGAATAACTTCAATAACTTAACTAAACTAAAAAATAATAATTCAAACTAATAGGAATCCTCTTCCATGTATGTATCTTTATCATTATCACAAGTACGAGCATTATGTCCGGGCTCTCCGCAGATCCTACAGCGCCGTCGGCGTGGTTCGGCCGGTCTCGTACGACGACGACTTACACGTATATCATCCTGTAGCTGCTGTTCAATATCCCGTTGAGAATGTAAGTCCTGAGCGTCTCATAAACTAAGAGATCCTCCATCTTGTAGCTGTCGACTTTTAGTCCTTCGACGACGGCTTAGCTCTTGATTGGCCTTCCGAAGTGTAGTAACCTCATCCTCAAGTAAAACTAACCGATGCATAACACCCGTCGCACCACGTGAAAATGGGTCAATAACCGTAAGTATTGTCGTCGGGGAGCTATTATGATGCTGTAAGATTCTGTTTTTAACGTATTCAGACTGGGATTACGCCTCGGTTGGGTTATTTGGAGTCTTTGATTCCCAGATTAAGGGGGCGCCAGACGAGCCCCCAGGAGGTGTAGGCGTATGTAGCTTAATATCCAGCTGTGAAATTACATATTCCGGGTCGTACGGAATAATTCCTGTCCCCCTGAAACCTGCCTGGATATTCGACTTAGTTATAGTCGTACGATACGCCCTATAGAATGCCGAAAAGAAATCCTCCTTCGAGATATGGGTTATATGCGCCCGTATTAGGTCTTCAATTTCTTTGCCGTACGACCTTTTAAAAGGCCTAAAACAGCCTACATCGAGAGGCTGGAGCTTATGTGACGAATGAGCAGGCATACTAAGTGTAATAATAGTATGCTCTTTGCAAAATAGCTCGAAGTCAGTCGAGTGGTGGCTCTCATGCCCGTCGAGGATAAGAAGACGATAAACACCCTTCGTACGATCCTTCGTATAGCGATCAAAGTGCTGAATCCAGTCTACGCCTCGCTCATTTGTTGTCCAACCGTTTTTAGTTACAGCGCTTACCCAATCGAACGGGAATAGGCTATTCTCGTACCAGGATAAGAGGTGGTTTTAACCCGCGACAATAATATACGGCGGGATAGCCCAGCCGGACGAATTAATACCCTGGATTACTGTAGCCCATTCTCGATTGCCTTGTTGGACTGTACGAGGCCTTTCGCGTCAGGATCTTCGCAATAGGCTCGTTAGTAGTCGATTCTTCGATTAAAACGCGTCCGAAGGTCTGGTTGTCGTCGTACGAAGTTCGAGGCCCAGTTGACGCCGACGCGTCCAGCGCCACGGTCACGGAGCAGTCGGTTAGCCATAGCTTCAACACCATGGAGCCGGGGAGGAAATAATTGCGAATCTAGGTCAAGTATTTATTGTACGACCGCTAAATCTTCTGATTCCGTAAGCTTATAACTAGATTGTCGAGTATCGCGTCGAGATAGTAGTCCGCGTTTTCGGTTAGCTAGAGTTGTACGAGGGACATTGTAGAGTTGGGCAGCGCGTCGGATGCTTAATTCGGGTTTCGATTGAAGCGCCTGACACGCTAGAATCATGTCGCTTTCTTTCCAATTCGATCCCATCTTGGTATGTGTAAAGATGTTAATTAAAAGGTTGTTCGTACGGTGCCAAGAAAAAGTGGCCAACTTGCTTGTGGGTACGTTACCCATTGGCATCGCTGTAGCTATTGTTTGTGCGCTTAGGACTGTCTCTCTATCCTTAAGGACGATCTCGCGTTTCAAGGACACGAGATGTTCGATGCAAATGTCAAGTGTATAAGCCGAGAGACATAATCCTAGTGTCTTATAGAAGCAACGCTACACGAGATAGTTTATAGGCACCAGTAACAGCTGAAATATAACTATGGAAGCTTCCTTTGACTAACCCACCAAATTAATAGCTAAAGTCAAACCCTATTCTTTGTCTAACAGAAAAGCCCTTCTCCCTGATGAACTAATCTGCTTATCTTCCGGCTCAATAATAGGCTTTATACCGTATCCTTATTTACATGAAAGCAACTTTAGTAAGCGGATCCGAGGCGCAAAACGCTATCCTCGTCTCTTACTAGCCGAGCCCAACCGAAGTCCCATCTCCATTAGATCGCATAGTGAGTATAAGATACGTGTACAGAATTTTCAGGCCCTCTGCAAGCCCCGCAGCATCAATTAGAGAAGACATTAACACCTCACTCTATACCTTACTACGTCTATTCCGGTAGGAAGCACTAATCTCACTATCATTAACGCTAAACGCTGCTTCCGCAATTCGTAGATAGGCGATCACATAGTGAAGCAATATAGCCTACTTGACGCCAAGGCATTCCGCCCGATGCTTCGACCCGCGTGCGCTAGCCCTTTTGTACTTAGGGGCCGCCACCGAGTATTCTTTTTCAATCTCGTTTATTGTACTGTCCTAACTCACCGAGTATTATACGGGCGTTGTCAGAGGCATGTGACCGTCAGCTGGATAAACAGCCGTCGACTGGTCTTTATCGGTAAGGACAATCAAGACTCGTTCCAACGGAGGATAATCAAAGGCCTTGAGGGCCTCTTAAAATCCTGCCTTATCTAGTGTAGGATGTGGGCAGCCTTGAAGGTCCAACAGAAGGATAAGTGCGTCTTCAATCATAAGCGATAGCAGTAATAGACAAAGGAGGGCAGATAAAGCAGGATAGTCATTCCTCGGAAGCAAAGTTTTCTTATAATAAAAGACGGCTGCGATAAGTGAACGTATACAGGATATTGTGAGCATGGAATATATGGAGAGAGGAGATTGTCAGTGAATATGATATATTTAAGACAGTCTCCTTTTCAATACTTCGTGTTTCCCCCTAGCGCGTAACTTATATGGCCGACGAACGTCACACTATCCATAATTAAGTCTACTTAACGCCGATCATATGTGTTGAAGACGAGCAATAAAGCCCGCAGGTTCAAGATGATAATGATGGCAATGGACAAAAGAATCCTCAACAAGACCTTACTATCCGAGAGTTAGAAAGAATAACAAAAATGCCTCAGCAGGTAGAACAATGGCCTCAACAGGCGCAGGGAATAAAATCAATTACTACTTGCTTGGCCGGTTGCTTGGTCGAATTTTCAATAATACCTCAAAACCCTGTTCCTAAGTCAATGTCTGCCTCCCTTTAGAGGTCGCCGTTAAGCCTTAGCTTCACACTATTAGTTCATCTACACACGAGATCTATAAAACCAAGCTACTTTAGGTGGAACAAGAACCGATTCAGCGGTATATTCACCGATATCTGCGGTCACCTCGATATTAGCGATTAGTAAGGAAATCCCAAGGATATTTAGAGGTCTTAGATCTCCTCGTACCAACGGCAAATAATCATACCAAAGCAACCCCCACGAGGTTTTCCTCGCTATCTCTCTGGTGGTGTTATTGGATAAGGCCCAAAGAGGGATACAGCTTGCGATCATCTGAATTTGAATTGAGGCATATTGTGGAAGACGAAGATTGAAAGTGAGAGTTTTCTGCCAGGAGCGAGCCTATATAACCATTTAGAGAGCCATTTCTGGCGCTTTCTGCTGAAGCCATATTCTGCCTTCTAAAAAGAGCTACATCTGGTGTCTAAGATGAATATGCTGCAGGGATACTGGTGGTTTAGCCCTGCAACGCAAGAACTGCACTCCCAACAGCCCATTATGCATGCTCACAGGGGCTCATGCAAGACTAGCAAGATCTACATTTCCCATTAGCGTATCAATAGTCCCACCTATCTGTAACGGAACAAGTCATCAGCTCAAGTATTCGTCTTCAAATTATGATTAAATAACGTAGCTCCTAGTTCTATCTGCCTAAGTGGTTTTCATACGCATGTAAACTATGTGAAGAAAGCGGGTTAAATGAGGCGTTTGGTCTCCTCCAAGACCCAAGCAATTGTAGTGTAACGTATTTCACCCCTACTCCGACACCCCTGTAAACCCCAACAATAACCACACTGCTATTTACATTATCCTTTTATTTCTCAACCACTTTTGCCTCAATTGAGTTTATTCCAAGTATTCGATCTGATCTGCTATCAATGCCTTCATGTACGGAAGAAGACCTCGCTGCTGCCGTTCTAGACGTCGCAAATGGTAAATCTGTGCGACGCGCTGGCCTGGATTGGGGTATACCAAGGACTACACTTATCGACAGACTTCAAGGCGCTGAATCAAGTCGCGAGGCCTCTGATAGCCAGCAGAGGCTATCTCCAGTGCAAGAAAAACACTTAGCAGACTGGGTTTTGGTCCAGGAAGCCCTTGGACTAGCCCCAACGCACGCGCAAATCAAGGAGCTCGCGCAGCGCGTCCTAGCCCTCAAAGGTGACCACCAACCACTCGGCAAGAATTGGCTGGAAGCCTTTCTAAAGCGTCACCCAGCACTAAAGACTAAAAAGCAACGCCGTATCTACTCTTAGCGTATCAAT